TTCCACTCAATTTAAGTAATTTACCAAATTATACTTCGGAGAATCCTACACCTCTATAAAATTTGTAAAAAATGTTTACTAGAGTGTCATCAGATACTTAAATAATATTAAAATATTTTTACAAGCCAAACGAATGAAATTTTTCAAAATACCATTTCTGAACGTTCATATATTAGTGCTGAAGTAATTGTACAGTACGTGAAATGATGGAAAATTTTATAAAAAAACTCAATTAAGTAAATAGATTTTTGTTTTACTTTAAATATTTATTTGTACCTGTCAACTTGTGTCGAAAATCAGTAAGTGTGCTGAAATACGAGAAGTAATGACATGGCAGGAATCGGAAAGAACAGTACTGAAAAGCACCTCTTCCCGGACTAGTTTCAATTACTTATATTGTTTAAGGAAGGAGATCTCTCATCCAATGCCTTTTTATTCTCCTCATATTCAGAGTCATGTCTGTTATTAATTTCTTGTAATGTCCGTTTATAAATTTGTATAAAATCGTTGGTAGTGTTTTGTTTGACACATTCCAAATTGCTTTTGTTTTGAGTCGTAATAATTTTGATTGGAAGGTTTGAAGTTTTTGTATGGGGTTCTTTTCAGCAATAACGTATATCTGTGATGAGTATGTTCTTATGGGTTTGGGTAAGTATATATATGTATTCAGTTTCAGTTTTGATAATTTAGAATAAAGAGAGTAGAGTAGTTTGACAAGTGACATACGTTTCATTTTTATGTCATCCTTCTGTCGATGATAAGTCCAAGATAAAGTACCGTGTGTGTTTGAAAAAATTGGTTTTTTGTCAATATAAACTGGAGGATTTAAATTTTTTCGAAGAGTAATAATTACAATTAAACAGTTTCAGAGGGATTGTTTAATTTAATTTATTGTTTTCGTCAATCGAATTCCTCAGACAGATTACCTTTGACAGAAGGATGACATGAGGCCCATATGTTAAAATAAAAAAGAAAGACTCTTAATATACGATTTAAACTACTTTACTCATTTTTTTTCATGTTCGTTGATTTAAGTTTTGGGGGGCATTTACCCATCAAAATTTTCAAAATTTTGGGGAATTTTATGAATATTTTCTCTTCGTCCCGTAAAGATTCAGTTTTGAATAATAGCTCATTACAAAGGGAATCTAATGCTGGACATTTCTCTTTTCTAAAGGTCTGAATTTTAGTTTCTGAGATATGTTAATGCATAGACGCGTTTTGAAGATTTTTGAAGTTGATTCAACCAATTGAAGTTTTTTTGCGTATGGATTAAAATATTCCAGAAACTAAAACTCGGACTTGCATACTGAAGGCAGGAGAAATGTGCAATATTTGATTATCTTTGTAATGAACTATTATTCGAAATTGTATCTTAACGCGATGAAGAGAAAATTTTCTTAAAATCTTGAACTTTTTGATTGGTTCAAAAGTCCATAAACCATTAACCCGACCTGTCTGTGCTGGCAGACGAGCATTTTCATAATACCTAAAAGAAGTGCTGTGAGTCTGTTAGGTTGAAAATTTTCTTAAAATACTACGGCATTTTCGGCCCTGGCTCCAGGTCTAAAAGTGCGAAATGCGTCTAAAGAAGTTTTCACTTCGAAAATTGTATTTAATTAAAAAACTTTTTTTTCTGTCTTCCAAAGTAAAATGAAAGGAAGAATTACCTTAATCACAGATCTTTGTTCACAATATGTATATATATATACATTTTTTTTCGGTTGGCCTTCCACGCGGTCTCTTGCCTACTACTGTGGTATTCATTGTCGTGTAAAGGCGTCCTGATGGATTGCTATGATATACATGCCCCGCCCATCTTAACCTCCTTACCTTTATGTCATGAGATATTGACTGACCCGTTTCTTTCAGCAATTCTTTATTGTTCCTTCTCCTCCTGTTATCCTGCGTAGAACTTTTCTTTTCTCAATTCTGGCTTCTAGTGAGCCCAGGTTTTACAACCGTACAGCAGAACTGGCTTTATCATGGTGTTGTACACCCTTATTTTGAGATTTCTGAAGATTTTTCTAGATTTCAGTACCTTTGAAAGAGAGAAAAAAGATCTGTTCGCACTTGTTATTCGCTGGACTATCTCTGTTAGTTGATCATTTATTGATGTTATTGTGGATATATATATTAACATTCCTTTATCCTTAATTAGCATTAGGACAATTTAATTTAGAGAATTAAATCTAGAGAAAATCCATCTTCTGATTCTGTTCTTCTACAGAGTTCTCTCGGGTTCAAGTATCCGATATAAAGGCTCTATCTCGAAGAAGACTATCAATGGCGACGTTACGCCCCCGCAGGGAAGATCTTGAGCTAAATAGCCGAAGACAGGAGTACTGAGAGGTGGGTACCGAACCCTTCAATAATGCACTGGCAGGAAGTCCTCCACCCGCGCCTCTAAGTAAAGATGTATTAATGTTGTATCCGTTCTCCCTAGTTCTTGGCTACCAGTGTCTGCTTTGATTCTCCTCTCTATTCATACTGCTTCTGAATAAGGTAGGGAGAAATGTAAATTGGATCACAAGGGACAAAAATGTCCGAGGAAGTTTGCTTAACTTGTGTTGTATAATTTTTTTCAGGATATTGTACCGGTACTGGTCAATATTATTTGAAAACAATTAATGTTGATTATGGACGTAAATATCGAAACAAATATATCGATACATACAAATTTATCCCGGAAAAAAATATATACAGGGTTTTCCGTAAGTAGATGGAAATATTTATAGGAGTAATAGCAGATTTCAAGAGTTGCAAAAAAGTTTATATATATAATGGGCCAATTTTTAGCAGAAAAGTGAAAAATCCAAGTTAACTAAAGAAATATTTAATTTTTTATTTATTTATTATTTGTTTTATTGCTTAATGATGTTTACAACTGTAGTGTAAATGTACTAAAGAAATACATTTAGTAAATTTGAACATATGGATATAATGACGTGAAAACACTTGTTGGGAAAGTATCCAATGGAAGCACTCTAATGATATGTCTATATTAGGAGATCACGGGGCCATCTTCTTTTCAGAAGCCTCGAGGGTTATCAGGAATTGAAGAGGAAGCAAGGTTAGGAACGAGAGGATTGGGATGATTTTGAAGTTTATTATGGAATGATAGGTATCTGGATTGGGCCAAATCTGATACATAAGGAACATTAAGGTCGTTAAGGATGATATTATTTGTGACAAAGTAGGAAGCATTGAGGATTTTACAAAGAATTTTGTATTGTAAAGATTGGATACGAGAGGAATTCGACGGTTTAGTAGAGCCCCATAGCTCAACTTCGTAAGTTCAAATAGGCTTAATTATATAGTCGTGTATATGAGTCTTGAAAATTTAGAGCGTTTGTCTAGTATGTGCTGAAGTAATCGGAAACGTCGAGCGGTTTCTTGTCGTATCAGTCTGGTATGAGGATTCTAAGTTAGACGTTGGTCCAGGTGGAGTCCTAGGTATCGGATTTGCTCAACAGGGATAAGTGGAGTATTGTTAAAGGAAACTGTAGGACAGGAATTCATAGGTTTACGATGAAGGGTAAAAGTAATTTGGTAGGATTTATTGGAATTTATTTTAAATATCCAGTTTTGGCACCATTCTTCAAGATTTATGATGTGTGATTGATGCATTTGGGGTGCAATGATGGGTCATTGTTAACAGATACAGTTTATTTAATTTAATTAGTTTGCAATGGCTTCACAATAAACTATACAAAATTTACTTCTAACGAAGATATAAATTGTCCTTATCTATTTATAAATAATTGTCTAAATCCACATATTATTATTTTAAAAATAATAAGTAATTCTTTAATTGAGGCTTGATGTTACAGGATTGAAATTTATTTTTTAAAAAATACGTCTGTATAATCTCTTAAAGAGGAAAAAAAAATTATTCAGGAAGACAACGTCTTTTTTATTAAATTAAAAAGTAATTAATTAAAAGTAAAAAGTAGTGAATTAAAAGTAGCCACTTTTAGTTGACAGGATGAAAAATCGCATAATTTTTTACACAACTTGAAGTTAACCTTAAGTTTTTTCATAGTAAACCTCAACTGAATTAATATGGAATCAAAGCTTATTATACAAGGAAGTTTTTCTAAAAATGGTATATCTTTGAGTATCGTTTGATGATGATAACAAAACATCGCGAATAATTTATAATTTTTTTTAAAAATAGGTCATAAAATGAAGTTAGACAGGGACGCGAAATGAAGATGCTGTCGTAGCACTTGTAACATAAAAGTTTCAATAAGGAAAGGAACGTGGTTAGAGGGGTCGAGGATTTCGTTTTTAACGGCTTTAAAATATATTTATGGGTGGTCCCATAACTTAGCAACGATAAAGTGGGGCAAAGAGCAGCTGAAACTATCCAACTGAGCTATGATAACGTGGAACAAATTTTTAAGAGGTGTTTGTGCCCATGGCATGTAATACAGGTCAAGAAAAAAATTGGAGAGCCTGAAAAAGTCGAAGTAGACGAGAGTATTTTTTCTAAAATACTTGGCGGAGATTGCCGAAAGACAGATGAATGTTTTATCGTCGAAATAATTGACAGAAAGGCAACAACTTTATTACAAGGTATTGAAAACAATATAGAAGAGAGTACCACCATTTATTTATACTAATTATTCATATTATAATACAAAAAATATGAATACGAAGATAGGAATCACGAGAAGGCTTATCAGTGCCTTATTTGAATTATCAGTGTTGAGGTTATAAACATTGGCAGGTAGCAGTCAGTCCCGGCCTCCTAGTGAAGAAGTATCAAATTAACCTTTTAAATATTTTTCTCTACTTACGATACATCCTGTATATTAAGAAATAATATATATGATAGCGAATAATGATCGAAAGTAAAGTATTTGAGAAAGAATTTTCGTTTCTCGACCTTTAAGATGTCTTCCTTGGCTAACACTTGACTCTTGGATGGATTTTGCCCCTCCAGGAATCCCTGAGGATGGTGCAACCCTTCGGCTACAGCTGAGGGAGGTTAAATGAAGGTGCCTGCCCGGACTAATCTAATTAAAGGAACAGAGCGTGTCGCCATGGGAACAGAAGCACCGAGGCACAGAGCGGCACACGGCACAGAGGAGGCCGGACGTGTAGGAGCTTTTAGTCCCTCTTCCCGCTTCCTCTATTTATAGCCACCCTAATCAGTATTAATGTTTCCAGCTGCCCTTCACGCGCGTCATGTTTTCGTTAGCTCTAATTGTAAACTATATTACGACAGGTAATAATTATATGCGGTTGTGGTATAGCTGAGTTTGGAACGATTCAACTTTAGAACTGTAAAAATGCGTAAAATCTATAATAAATAACGTTTTTATATGTCATAATTTGTAAGCTACGAATATATTATAAACAAATTCTGTAATGTAGAATTCACGCTTGTTACGACGGGTGCGATAACACTAGATATCATCTCTTCTTAACAGTTAGTAATATTACTTTTTTTTTGGCTTTTAGATCTATCGGTCTCCAATAGGAAAAAATGAAAAATATGTATGATTTTCGTATTTTAATTTTCAAGTTTCGTCTAAACCTGAAATGGTTATCAAGCATCATAATTAAAAATATAATTTATCATAAATTTTGATATTTTTTCTATTCATTTTAATTTTTGGTTTATTATTTTCAATAATGAAACATTGTGATCGACCAAAATATTCAAAAACATAACCCCCTCTCAAAATTTGAGGTTTCACGTTTCAAGATGCTTAGAATTCGAAAAACGAATTTTTTTTTGTCCGTCCGCCGTCCGCCGTCCGCGCATTTTCTCCGAAACTACTGGACCGATTTTTTTCAAATTTTGATATAAAATCAGGTCACCCGAGGATGATCCTCCTTCATCGACATTACTCTCCGCCTTTACCTTTCAAAATGGCGGCAGAAAGTTGCTATAGACTGTAGCTCCTAAACGAATGTACAGATTTCAATGAAACTTGGCTAAAGTCATTTTCTCGACGCCCTTTAAATTTATCTATATAACATACTTCAACGAAAAGAAGCTGGAAAAAAAGTTACGAGGGATGGTAAAATTAAATTCCGAATAACTCGAAAAGTTTTTACTTTTTTGTTTTTAAAAGTTTATGAAATTTCCTAAAAAAAAAAAATCGTTAAAATCGGACAATTTGGAGCAAAGATATGGTATCTGGTTTGTTTTTATGTGTTCTACTCCAAATGTTATATCCTTGGTTTGGTTTTTAAATTTTAAATGTGTTACTGAAATAATGTTTTTTTTTTTTTTAGCATATTACTAATAATTAAAGAAAAACAGTTTAGTCTAATAATTGGAATCACCTTTTTTTTCTTTGTAACTCGGAATGTAATGTTACTTTAGATGTATAATTGTTTGGAGATAATAAACCATTGTGAAATCATTTGCAGCGTTTTTTTTTTTAGCTTGTTGTACTACGACTTTAATAAATTTATTTATATGTACTGCAGATATTTATTGATAAAATATTAAGAATAATAAAGAAATGCTTAAAAAAGGTAAAAAAATTTAAAGGCGATATTATTTAACAAAAATAATAGTCCGTGGTATAGACTTCTTTTTTGATCAAATTATAAACATACCCCTGAAACTTCATGAATAGCTTCATTTAATCGTAACCTACAACTATTTCATTTACGAAAACTCTTGGAATTGGAAGGTTTTCAGTCTGGAAGTTGGCAAACTTTGTCTATTTAATTAGGTACTAAAATCTCGTAAATACGCATTTCTTTTCCATTTGGATCGTAAGATAATTTGATAACAAAATCGATAAAAAAAAAAGGTGTACTACAACAATGTTGGACTATTTGGCCAATATAACCTAGTTATTTTCATATTTTGGAAGAGAAGGGTACGCCAAGCGGCTCAATATTTTTGAAGACTACCTTTTATCTCGATTTTATGCTCAAACTATCTTACGAATGAAATAAAAAGCAAACGGGTATTTACGAGGTTTTAGTACCTTGTTAAATAAACAAAGTTGGACGATCTCCAGATTGAAACGCCCCAATTCGGAGAATTTAAGAAAATAAAATATTTGTAGGTTACGAGGAGATAAAGCTATTTACGAAGTTTCAGGAGGATGGTATTAATTTGATCAAATCTGGTATGCACGGTATCTAGTATAGAAAATTAAATATAATGTTAATATTATTTCGAAAAATAAAGGGGAGAAATATAGTTTTTTGATCTTAAAATATGTACCTAGATTTTAGAAGACATTAAGTCAGATGTTCCTTTATTATCTCTTCACTCAAGACAGGAATTATTTTTATTTAGGAAGGGGGTTAAGTAGGGTTCATACTTTCAGTAATTAATTTTAAAAAAAAATCAAATGAGACGATATTAAAAAATCACATAATCATGGACAACACAATATAAGAAAAAATTCTTCATATTGTTACTTTACCTAATGATTTACTCTACTAATTAAATTAAAGACTCAATTGTTATTGTTATAAAATAAATTTTATTTAAAAGACAGTCGCCAAGACTGTTCTCCAAAGAGCTATCAGTTAAATCTCCGACAAGGGCTCTAAATCAATATGAAGAGATTGGGGGAGGTTTTATCACTTTATTAACTGGAAGGAGAAGGATATCCAGAAATGATTGCCGATTTTTATTACCTGCTCCCCTCCTTCATTGGCCCTCGTCAAGCGGCCAATAAATTGGTCCAATGAGATGCGACATCCTCCAGAGGATCCGACCAATGAGGGAGAGAGATGGCATTCAATCTTAATTAATTCGGAGAGTGGAAGACAAATAGAGGCGCTGATTGGGCATCCCCATCCTTCTGTTATCCGATTCGTCGATATCTCTCTCATTCATCCCCAGCCCCCTCCCCCCCTCCCAGAGGGACGTTTTAGTCGGGTATCCAGGAAATATTAGCTATTAAACATCTTTTCGGCGAAGGTTTTTAGCGTCTTTTACATTTTTTAAGAATTTATTTATTAATATCAATAAATATCTACAGTAAATATAAATAAATTTATTAATATAAGTCGTAGTGAATCAAACTAAAAAAAAATTAAATTTAAAATGAATAGAAAAAATATCAAAATTTAAGATAAATTATATTTTTAATTATGATGGTTGATAACCATTTCAGGTTTAGACGAAACTTGAAAATTCAAATATGAAAATGATACCTATATTTCATTTCTTTTTAATTGGAGACCGATAGATCTAAAAGCAAAAAAACACTGCAAATTATTTCATCAATGGTTTATTATTTCCAAACAATTATACATCTAAAGTAACATTACATTCCTAGTCACAAACAAAAATAAATAAAAGGTGATTCCAATTATTGGACTAAACTTTTTTTTTCATCGTTATTAATATACTAAAAAAATAGCATTACTCCGATAACACATTCAAAATTTAAAAAGCAAAACAAAGGATATAACATTTGCAGTAGAACATATTAAAAAAAAAAAAAAAAGAGAGACTATATCTTTGCTACTACTTGTCCGATTTTAACGATTTTTTTTTTTCGTTGAAATTTCATAAACTTTTAAAAAACCATATCTACTATATACAATATCGACAAAAAAGTGTATTTTTTTTGGGTTATATGGACTTTAATTTTACCATCCCTCGTAACTGTTTTTCCAGCTACTTTTCTTTGAAGTATGTTACAGGCTTGAAGAAAATGACTAGCGAAGTTTCATTGAAATCGGTACATTCTTTTAGTCGCTACAGTCTATAGCAACGCAGGTTTTTCGGGCGTCATTTTAAAATTAAAAGGCGGATAGTAATGTCGATAAAGGAGGATCATCCTCGGGTGACCTTTGATTTTATATCCAAATTTTTAAAAAAAATCGGTCGAATAATTTCGAAGAAAATGCGTGAACGGCGGATAGACAAAACATTTTTTATCGTTTTTCGAATTCTACGTATCCTGAAACGTGAAACCTCAAATTTTGAGAGGGGGTTAAGTTTTTGAATTTTTTCGTTCGATCACAATGGTTCATTATTGAAAATCATAAACAAAAAAAAAAAGTAATATTACTAAGAAACTCTTGAGAAGATATTTACTGGTGTTATCGAACCCGTCGTAACAAGCATGAATTCGACATTACATAATTTTTTTAATAATATATTTGTAGCTTACAAATTATGACATGTAAAAACGTTATTTAAAGTTGATTTTGCTCATTTTGACAGTTTTTTTCAAAAACGATGTTGATCGATTTTAATTTTGATGTACCTAACTTTCCGACTGTATACTGCATCATTTCGCTTCTTGTCTATTCGGAGTAATTTTCTTTCGTATAGATCACTTTCAGGAACTTTTTGGGATATTCGACATGTCCTGGAATGTGTAGGCTTCCAAATACCGGACGGTACAATATCCCAGTGGAATACCAATTCGGCGGTGGAAGAGAACAATGGATAAACCCCCGAGAAAGCTGTTCCTCTTTTGTGTTGTAGTACGAGGGCTGAGTGGTTAGCAGAGAAGGGCACGTGGAGGCTGTGTCTGCCGAAATGTCATTCTACAGCAGGTACCTACACGTAATGAAAAACCTCGTTCCACTAGTCATAGAAGCCATCAAAACCAATTTAAAGTGATAATTCGTCATTTCAAATTTAAATTTCTAAATAATATATTTTAAAAAAATACATATTTATTGAGATTTATAACAGTATAAGTTAGCAAATACAACAAGTAAATTTGAAATTGTTAATATGACATGTACAACATGAAGAGAACCAATGTATTGGCAGCACTCCAATTATAGTTCTATATTAGAAGGTCCCGAGGCCGTCTTCTTTTCAGACTCATCAGAGGGTTATCAGGAATAGAAAGGAAGCAAAGATAGAAACAAGAGGATTCCTGAGGTTCAAAAGATTATTATGGTAACTGGATTGAGCCAAATCGGACACATAAGAAACATTAAGGTCATTATAGATGATTTTATTGGTGACAAAATAAGGCACATAGAGGATTTTGGATTGTAAGGATTGGATACCAGAGAAATTTGATGACTTAGTGCTGCCGAAATGCTTAACCCCAGACGTCCAAATAGGCCTTATTATAGTCATGTATATGAGTCTTTTGTAGTTAATTGACAGCTTAGAATGTTTGTCTAATAAGTGCTGAAATAGGCGGAAACGTCGAGCGGTTTCTTGTCTTTTTAGTCTAGCATGAGGAATCCAAGTTAGACGTTTGTCCAAGTGGAGTTCCAGGTATTGGATTTGTTCAACAGGGATAAGTGGGCTATTGTTAAACGATACTGTAGAATAGGAAGTTTTACAACGAAGGGTAAAGGTAATTTGGTAGGATTTATTTTAACTCTCAAGTTTTTACATTATTCAACGAGGTTTGTGATGTGTGTTTAAAGAGTTTGGGATGCAACTGATAGATCGTTATTAACTGATAGGACTCATGTGTCATCAGCATAGGCCACTTAAAATTCTCGGCATCGAAACGGTTTTCTTTACTCTTTTTATATTTAGTTTTTATCTACAGTATGTATGTATGTGCTGAACAAGCTTATATTCTTAAAATGTATGTCTTAATCGTAAAATGGATGGAACGAAAATCGATTGCGAAAATACAATTTTTTATTTGTTTGATGTTAACAAAAACAGAATTTTTTATCAGTGAGAGCTAAACTATTTTAAGTATAAAAATAAATATATGAATGAACATTTGTCGTTTAAGGGGAAAATCGAAACCACAATGAGCTGCTTGAACTGCATAGGAAACAAACTAAGAGCAAAAATAACGGTTGTAATTGTCATGCCAGTGACATGAAATCGACCAAAGAGTACAGTTTAAATTTTTAAATACAATCCGATTTTTTATAACCATTTGTATTAATTTTTTTTGTTATATATAATTTAATTATAATAAAGAAAGAAATTTAGTTCTAAATTTATCGTTTTAATTGATAACAAATGTAGACAATTTATTTTTTTAACTTTATATCTTCACCCACACCTGTTCTAGCTTATGTAATTAATTAGTGGGTCTGCTGTCGATATGAGTACAGGTGAATAAAAAAAAATTGATACTAAGCAATTTCTACATTTCTTTTCAACATTTTCTCCAACTTTGGATCAAATCGAACGACACAACTTATATTTTTCAAATTATAGCTGTTTAAAAAACACAATACGTTTGCAGATTTAAAAACGGAAATATGTTTTTAATGTAGTAGATACAATTTGATGAAATTGATACCTACCTGATCATTTGATTATCAATTCCTAACATTCCTCCAAATTTGAGCCAAATCGAACAAGTGGTTTTTGAGACAAAGGTAGATCAAGGAAAAAGCGTTTACGCATATTTAAGAGAAAGTAGATAACGGAATTCAATCAAATTTACGGGAAATCCAAAACGATCAACATACCAAAACTACAAACTTTTCAGTCAAAACGTTCAGGACTGTTATTAAAGCTCCATGGTACGTCATAAACATTTCGTTACATATAAAGATTTTAACATGCTATCAGTTAACGACCACACAGGTCACACTACAAAAGATTTCGCGATAACTAACATAGATATACTAACTCATTTATACAAAGTATGGCTGTATTTAAGATGCCCGAAAAGACACTTAGGCGGCTCAAAAGAAGCTGGATGTAGGATTTCCTCACTTAAAAATATTCAAAATTCAAGATAGGAAGGGATGCCACTGGGCAATCCTCTCAATCACGCCGATCACGCCACTACCTGTACTCTTATCGACAGCAGACACGCTAATTAATTACATAAGTTAGAACAGGTGTGGGTGAAGATATAAAGTTAAAAAAATAAATTTTCTATATTTGTTATCAATTAAAACGATAAATTCAGAGGTGCTTTAATTACAAGTGACTTTGATATATAAAGGTATTCGTGATAGTTGACCTTTCACTTTTAAAGGAAACCTGTTGAGTTTCCATCAAATTTATTGATCTCTTACGTACTTATTCTTCAGCTTTATAGTAAATTCAATTCCATAATTAATTGTAAACATAGCACAGATTTCTGTTTACATTAATTTTTTTTTTTTTTTTACTTTCAACCAAATAACAAAAAGGAGCTTCATAATAAAAATATTCTGGTTCATGTAAATGTAAAATCTCAAATTTTGAGGGAGGTTCACTTTTTAAAGTTCTTGTTCGATTCCAAAGGTCCATTATTGAAAATAATATTTAAAAAACGCGATATATTCACAAATAGTGCTCTGATTTCGATGAAGCTTTTTTTGTTTTTTATGAAATTTAAATAATTTTATTTAAATATTTATAACAATGAGAGGGCTCCTCAACCTCTTACGGGTCATTTTAGCTCTTATGCAGTATTTATATTACAATACATAAGATGAAATTTAACAATAAATTTGAAAGTACAAAATATTTTAAAAATTTAAATTTTCAAAAAAGTGTAACTAATAATTAAATTTTATAGTTGCGTCATTTGGTGATAATTTTTTTTGTCATTTTGGTGGTGTTTTTCAAAATTTCAGAAATATACTCCAGTTCAACTTCGTACAACTTTATTTCGTAGTTCTTCATGGGCATAACATTCAGTCAAAGTCTCTCTGACTGTTAAATTGACCCCGCACCAGAGATAATAAGAGTGTCTCCCCTTTGGCATTAGGTACTCATGGGTTAGCCGTGAGTGGCCGATTAGGAGCATTGTCAGGATCATTTCCTCTCTTCTGTTTAACTGAAGGTCCGCTCGATTGGGAACTACAGAGGGCTCGATCACTCTCAACTTATTGTCTCTTAAAACATGCCAGAGACCCTGTCATTTCTCCAGAGAATTTCTCTTTACCAAACTTACTACTTCCTATGGTAAAGCACCCTCTACTGGAATTCCTTCCAAGCTAGCTCATTACCTCTAATACCTGAGTGACCTTATAACCACGTAAAAGTGTATCTAACATTCAATACTCTCCAATGTTTTTTTTATTTGTCTTACTGTGTCTGTGACTAATGAGTCAGTTGAAAAAGATTTTTTCATAGCTTTAAGAGCAGATTCTAAATCTGTACAAATATAAATTTTGTATACACGATTTATTGCAAACAGTTCAGTATGGTAGGAAGTGCAATATGATGATAATGAGAAAAATGCTTCTGAAATGCTTAATTATAAAAAAAATCAGAAAAAAAAGTGTATAATTTTTTAGTTATTTGTGAATCTAATTTTACCACCTCTGGTATATGTGATGCTTACTCCACACTAGATGTTTTACTTTTGGAGTTTCTACCATAACAATCAACAAAGGATGACTTATTTTGTAGACTTATATACATTGCTTTGGAACCAGGGTGATTCCAAACCATCTCCTTTTCTCCTTCCGTCCTTGATATTCCTCGAGTGATTGTAGCGGTAGTTAGTGCAGAGAGAGAGAGTGAGAGAGAGAGAGAGAGAGGAACGGGCAAACAAAGACAACGCCATCCCACAAATTGGTGAATCCTTTGTTGGAGCTCGCCATTGTGGCCGGCAGGAGTTGACACTGCTCTTATCATTAGCGACAACGGGACGGTCCCTCCTTCCCGTCCCCACTCCCGATGTCCTAATCGATTTAGTCCTATCTCTTATTGTCTCATAGCCTTCTCCTCTCGCCTCCTCCCCCCAACCACCAATCTTCAGGTTACGCTCCTCTTGTTGGTTTATCAATGGGCCAACTTCAGGCATCTCTATTATATTTAATTATATATCTCATTGGCTCTTTTCTACATTAAGCACACTAGCAAATTTTTGAAGTGTTTTTACTTTCACTTACGTATATATGTAATATATAGTAAGGGTAAGTATTGCGGACGAGAAAATTTTTGAATCTGATTTTTCAACGGAAATATTAGTCTGTGTGTTTGTATGTTAGCAGTCTAGCTCAAAAACGAAAAGTCGTACGAAACTGATTTTACGTATTTAAGATATATATATGCCTTAGATGTGACAGCAACTTTTTCCTCAAAATCGGCTAACCGGAAGTGCCATTTTATATCGACGCTGAAACACATTTTTATAATTTTCTCAAAAACGGCTCTAACGATTTTGATTAAACTCGGTGTATCATTGTATAATTAAGTGGTCTTTAATATTATTCAGGTCTTATCACCGTTGATGTTACTTTAGAGTACTTAAATGCCCAATGTTCATATATGTCTTCCTTTAAAGTACCTTTAATATGGTTTATTTTAAAAAGTTAATAATTTCGCATTATTCAGAGTTACGAGAAAATAGTATATATATAACCTTTGAATGAATTTGATTAGTTAATAAAGGAGAAAAAAAATAAAAATGCAGATTTTTTAAAAGTTTATGGAATTTCTTAAAAAAAATCGTTAAAATCGGACAATTAGGAGGAAAAATATGGTCTCTAGTTTTTTCCTGAAGAGGTGAAAATTTGGATAAATTTAAAATATACTTTTTTAATTGTTGAGACAAAA